CTTGCGCTTCGTATGAAATAATTCTACAATCCTACTCAGGGAATCACCTTGACCGTCACTGATGGGCAGATGTACACCATTTAACTATCCACCCATCACCGCACAGTGATTGAAGTTGTTTTTAGGTGTTCGCCGCGCTACACAAGAAAATTCGTTCATCACCCCCGTCTCCTGCCATACAAAGAAACAGTGCTTTGGCTGGGGACTGGCCCACGAAATGTGTACAACCCCCTACGGGAGACCGAAACCCCTCGTAGAGCTAAGCTTGTAAGTCGATATCACTTCATCTGTAGTCCGTATTCCACTCAACACTACATCGTGAATTGATCATCCCCTTTCTCAATGATAAGCTTCGGTTTTCAAGTGAGTTGTATTGTGAAACTGATGCACCGCAGCAGACAGTTCGAGACTGTGGTCAAGTGGTAAACCTACAGTTAGCCGGCTAGCTTAGTCTCTGATCTGAACTGGAACCGGATCGATGGAAATATCCGTCAACCTCAAGATATCGACGTATGAATAACTATCACGAAAATTAATGAAGTCAGTAATGAAGAAATCCAGCACCAGAGGAGGAATTAAACAATTCCCATTTGAGAGTCACAGGCAACTAGTTGGTTGGTATCCCGTCAGCTCGATTTATGTACCTGCTTTAGAAAATATTCAACTATCAATTTTTTCGAATCCATGGATTTAAGTACCCTTGAAAAAGAAGGAACGACGTGAAATGCATCGGAACGCCATTTTCCTTTATACAGTACAAAAATGTCAAGTACGAGTACATTCGCAAGTCCAGCAACGCTAATTTACCAATCTCATGCCTACCGCTTTATGCAGATCTTGTCTAGAGAATTATTCAAGGGAATCTTTGATAAATTGCCATTCGCAAGTGTGATTCTGTGTCGCGGGAAAACCCAAGGCACCACAGCGCAGACAATGGTTTCAAACGCCAAAGAGTGGACTGACCTCCCAGACAACTGGCTTGCTCACCAGCAAAAACATAAAGTTTTGACCATTAGCTATGGAAGATCAATAATAGATAAAGAAATAATTAGGAGTAAGCTTTCCAGGTTTCACAATACCATCAATGAAATAGGGCAGATATCTTAGCCGTTAAGTGGCTTAATTTCCAACAATAAAACATACTTGAGAGGAGTTGACAATCTTATCCCGAATCTTGGAGATGAAAGAGTCGTTTTGCCATCCCAAAACACTACAAGAAGGAACACCAAAACAAATGGCAACTTAAGTCATCACTGTAAATTCGAAAGTGTAAATAACGAGTGACAACAGACTTCAAGGGACTCGAGAATCCGTTTTTCGATGCGCAATCTGTTGATGACCAAAGGGAATTCTCCTCGACATAGGTCTTAGCACAAATTCCGAATTTCTCAGGTTCCGAGATCAACCTGGGAACACACAAAATGCGAAAACAAAGGAGCCTACACTTGTACGGCTTCTGGATTGGCAAATTTCTGAGCGTCGTTAGTGGAAACAGCTTCAACTGAAAGGTCGTTCATGATGCAGCGAAGATAGTGAAGAATGTGAAAAATTCGTGAAGTACCCGACACCCACTTTTCAAACTCTGGGCCCAAGTCAAGTTCTCCAGTTTGAGGACTCACGTAAGGATGGTAAAAGCCGCGAGGCAAAAAAATTTTCTAAATAGGTGAATACTAGTTTTGGGAAAAGTAAATCCTACGGGAGGTAGAACAGACGGAAAATCTTCAGGAATTTCGAGCTTGAAAGGGAAAACGCCGCCGGCATAGTATCCCTTGCGAACGGATATTAATCCATACCAAACTTAAAAAGGCATAGAACTAATGGCATTTAAACCTCACCATCAGGCTGATCAATGGAGGGGAGAGTGTAGATTCCAGGGGGGTGAAACTTCATTATCAAATTACTAGAGTAAAAAGCGTTTGGTCCGAGAACAGCACACCTACTATTCTGACATGATTGAGTACCGGTGAAGGAATTCAAAAGGGAGAACGGAAATGCTAGGGGGATCCGGATTGGAAACTGGAGGAGGCCCGGCTTCCATGAAGGAAGGAACAGCTGAAGTGAGCGGAGAGGTTAGAAATTTAGTTTGAGGCTAACTTGGAGGTTACATAAATGGTTGCGAAATTCAAACGCGGACACAACTCATTTTCTAATATTCTCTTCAAGTGAATAAGAAAATCCGCTTACCTAATTTTCTTTTTGGCGTGTTGTCAGAGGTATGCTATCTCTTGCTTGAGAGCTAATTAGTAGAGCCCTTAAAAACCAATAGTTAAAATCGTTGTTAACTTACCTACAGTTCTATGATCTACACGAGAAAAATGCAGAGGGTTGCCATTAAAAAAGACGACTTATTAGAGCATTTTACTGGGTCTTTTATGTTGAACTCAGAACTACTCTGGAGGCCATCTAAATTCAATGCCTATTCAGTGTCATTTAATAAAAAGCCATCCTGCTTTCAATTGCGGGAAATTCTTCTCCTTTTTCTCATGCATGCATGGGCTAACGTTGATGCCAATGAGCTTTATGCAGCTAAATGTCAACCTTAAGTCTTGTGTGCTGTGCCTCTATTATGATTATGACTGTATTATGCTTTGTATTGGTGTTTTAAGGTTTGATGCAATTTTTAGTAGCATGTACAGGCTACATTTCAGCACTATTCATAGCCGGGGAGTGTTTGGGCTGCAGATAGTGGGGTCCTCGTCGCGCGTGGTAGTTGCTGCGCGCACGCTGGAGCGATGGCCATGGACAAGGAAATGACGGATTATTTGAACCAGGTTTGTGAAGCATCTTTCGTGTACCTTCTTTAAACTCCCTTAAACCAATAAGAAACCCGGTCTTGCTTCCTTCAGGAGTTAAAATTTCTTGGTTGGTTCTTTGCGTCCCGTGATTTCTTGCAACTGTCGCAGAATGTTCTTATTTGATTTCTGAGTAATGTAGTTCTTCTCCTCCGCATTCACTTCCTTGACTCGCATAACTAGGTATTACCCAATTCTAGCTGCAAATTAAGGAGACCTCGGATCTTTACGTCCAATGTAGCACCGTTTGTTTCAGTCGTTGTGTAATGAACTTTACTGCCCGAAAGCTCAATGACAAGGAGGTGAGCTCACTTGTTTTGGTACCGTATGGCTATTATTTGAAGCTTAGTTCAAGTCTCTCACTCGAATTCTATATTCATAGCTCGATTGCATCGAAAAGTGTACCCAGAAATTTGCTAAAATGAATCAGCGCTTGACAATCCGCCTCTTCGAACTGAACCGCGATGAACTCGCAAAACAGCAGCAGCAACAGTAGAAAACCCTTCCCCTGTAACTATGCGTCGACTGGTTCCGCTCGTCAATCGATGTCAATTCCCTGTACAGTACAGTTTTACACCGATAGTTAGGTGTCCGACTCTACCTATATTTAAGATTGTCTTCAGGAAACTTGTTTTTGCGTTTTTCATCCCTTTCTGGTTTTGACCCACTAGGTTCTTGCGGATGCCCGCAAGGTTCATGTTTTATTATTCGTGTCGAATTTTAAGACGGGATGTGGGATTATAAAAATTTGTGCTTTGGTGAATTGTGTCTACTTCCCATGGGTAAACTAGCTGCTCCCACAGTTTGGCATAGGAACTCTTGTCTGGAGGCAAAGACGATCGTAGATAGTCCTTCTGGCGTGACGGATCCAGAGTGCTTCAATCGCCCGTCTGTCTACGGCGGAGGCCGCTAGAGGTTAAATTGTCCTGACTGAATTTAAAACAAACAATGGCTTCAAAGTGCTACGATTCGCTTTTTGATGGGGTTTGATGTCGGGGCGACTAGAATTATGCCCCTTATTTCTGGGCTCTTATCAGTGGCGCTAAATTTATGCAATTCAAGCTGAGAGACTGAATAAAGTGTCAATCCCCTGGAATGTGGCACGTAATTGTCACAGCAAACACTGTTCCGTTATCCTAACAGTCCTTGTACGTTATCAATCAAGTAGTGTGTCATGTTAGAAATCGTTTATTCTGGTGCATAAGATGCAACTTACGCAGGTTCAGGCGTGAAATCCTCTTGGATACTCTGTTGTAGCCAGATGAGAAAAAATATATTTCTTCCCCTAATGTCTATTCTGAACAAGTTGTAGTCAATTAGTATGTTTCCTTTTAGAGGTAATTCGACTTCAAAACTGCCTACTGATGCGGGGATAATTCATTTCAGTCAACGTATTCCTCTTAACAGAGTTTCACGTGTGATCCATCAAAGACCTCCTTGCATTCGCCGCATCCCTTCATGTTTGTCGCTTTCGTCGGCCGAAGTCGATCACTGAAAAAAATTCAAGAAGTCCCAGCACATTTTCCGATCGCAAATAAGCAGGGAAATACACCTATTATTTCTCATATCCGTAGCTAAGGAAGAGCCCAATTTTCCCTGTAAAAAGCACTTACGCCCAATTTTTTTCCTTCTCTGGATCTGTTTTTCTCTCTGCTGCCTTTGCCAGACCGCTATATCGGTGGGCTGGCTTCTTTTCATACTTGTAAGGGTCATAACGTCCCGGTCCCGTGAATGGCGTCTTAAATGTTTACAAGTTTAGCAGTTGCGTGAGCGCCGTAGTCGGATGTGCTCAACACCACTTGAACGCAAAACAATCCACGGAGGTGGACAACTTTGGGGAAACCAGTGAATTAGTCGGATAATAATTAACAAATGTAATTGCTCACCACGTTACCAATCAGTCTGTTGTACTCTCTTTGAGTCATTTTTAAGCCACAACGGGATCCAATTGGTACTTTACCGGGTTTTAGTTTACACCCTTTCCATTGAGATGCTTCACTCGTATATTGGCCGGGATCTAGTTTAATCTTTTGTATCCAAAAATAATGAAGAAACAGAATAATTTTCATGTTTGGGAACTTTAGTCTACTTGTTGTATTAAGAAAACTTATAACACTGATTTATGGGTTATTTTAATGCTATACTTGCTTTTTTACCTACTTACATAATATCAGCAGTTCTGAAGATAAAATCGCTTGAATGAACCGTCTACTCACGTCCTTATCAATATTGTATCCCAGTGCATTAAGGCAGCACCGTTCTCCATACCTCTTTGGAAACCTGGGCGTTTTCGAAAATACTCCCCTCTTCTTATTCCTTTCACTCTGCATTATCTCCACAAAGGAGGGGACGTTGGTATTTTCTGTCGGCGGATAATCCACCCTCTAGTAAAGAAAATCAAAATTTTATTGACTCGTGCAATTTGAGCCGGCATCTAACTTCCCGTACTTCTCTCGCAAAATAACCGTGTTTAAGTGGTGCCAGGCGTTCTTCGTAGAGCGAGTCAAAAGTACGGAATCGTTTTTCAAGGTCTTCTAGATCCTGATCCATCGGTGCCTTCAGGGTGTAGCAGGCGGGTCCAACGCCCTCCTAAGAAGAAGTACTGATTTTACCCCTTATCAAGTGCAAATTGGCCGATTTAACTAGTTGACTGGTATTTCGCGTGATAAATAACGCAGATTATCTGGCTAATATTACACATTTGGTCATCTCAACAGTAATACCTCATCTCACCTTAGGGGTGGGGGCACGATCAACCATTGCAGCAAGAGTCCATGGGTCCGAACCCAGATGGTTAGCTTTTGTTGCTTTCGTGTCCTTGATAAGATCATAGGCCCCCGGTGGAGGTTGACTAGTCTTCCAATTAAAACAATAGTCATGTTATTCGTCTCTTTCTTGACTTCTAATCCTTCTATACGTCGATGATTGGGCTAATTCGGGCCTAAATTCTTTGTAGCGTTCTCAACAGTAACCCAAAAGCAAAAAAATCATCAAAGTGTTAGTTTTTACATAAATTGGCATCCCTTCTAGATTCAGCATTTTGGTTCTTGAATGGGTAATATGAGCTCCCGCCTATAAAATAGTCCTGCCGAAGCCAACAACCAATACCGACACTGAGAGTTAGACACAAATGAAGGAACAATAATAAAATCAACCGTACAGAATCTCTTAATCGCATCTTCTTTTTCTCCTTCATCCTTTCCGCCTTCGCCCCAAATGCCGCTCCACATGGTGGTACCCAGGGGCACTTAGGAGGTTTCTCCTGAGGTTCTAGGTCCGCAAGAATAAGGTCTACATCATCCACTGCGTCATCTTTCCCTTTAACGATAGGACAAATGGTCGCCGCAGCATCAGTGATGGCCGTGACACTGATCCGAGGCATTGAGGCCCCCCAGTCCTGTTCCCACTGATGCTGACGCGAACTGAAGAGCACGTAGGGTGTCTTCGAGCGGTTCTGTGCGTTTGCGCCGAGACATTTAAGTTCTTTAGGATTATACTTGAACTCGAAGGTTGGTCCCTTTGGAATGAAAAAGAAGCGGCGATTACGGATAGCGCTGCAAATAACCACGCAAGATGCTAGGAGACTAACAACAAAGACTGTGATGTTTAGTGATGGATAAGACATCATTTCATGGTTTAATTAAAGGGTACTAAATCGTATGTCAATTTTACAGAAAATGGCTACAGTAGAATGAACTTAAACAGATAAAAAATTTTTTAATAAATCGGACTTGATCAGAATGACCTCCATTACTATACAAATTTGCAGGAATACATGTGATTTTTTCGTAAAACACAGTGCCTAACATACGACAAAAAATACGGTATGCCCATCCGATAAAAATGCAAAAGTAAATCATCTATTCTTCCTAACATACCCCACGTAGGGTCTCCAAATATTGAGGTCCCATTAAATTTGGATGCATGCCGCACGGAGCAAATCTGGACATAATGCAAATCCCTTAAGACGTGTACCTTGCTGATTTTGAAAACGTGTGGCCTTTACTTAATGAACATGGTTTGGGAACATTTGTCCCTTCATGATCATTAAAAAATGCGCATTAATGCCTTCATGGTTTAAAGTTTTGCTGCAGTTAAGATAGGCTTCTGGTGCCTTATGTGTCTCAATTGAAAAGTTAAAACACTGTTTCAAATATTTTTAGATTGTTTTTACTTCGCAAATGATTTTTAAAGTTTTGTATTTATTTTGGCAATGATTTAAAGGGCGAACCTGCTACCTTCATTAAGTCAGACCTAAGGATATTTGACAATGAACATGACGGTTGAAGATAGATAATATGTTTAGGGTCATAGTGGGAGAAAAACCTAATGACTAACCTTTACTTGGCAATATTGTCAAGCGACCTGAGGATAGGTCTCAGTTCTACTAGTAAGTGCTTCACTACTTGTAAAATCCTTCGTGAATTTAAGGCTTTTTCATACTCCATTACTTGATGACCGATGACCCTCTCTACTTAGAATAAAAAACAAGCACTATTTTTTTGGTTGCGTTATTTTATGGGCATTATTAATGTTACTTTTAAAAGCGTTTCACGATATGTTGCTGTTGGTGGGCTGACTCTATTGTGTAATACGATAGTGGTTTATCCCTCGGTTCTGGTGAGGCGCCACTTTTGTACTTTGAATCAGCCCCCTTGTACCTCGATGGGTGACCTGGGCTTTTGGGCCATGCCAATAGCTCAGACACCTTCTCCGTGCTGAATATATATATTCTGCTCGAGTACTGTGTCTTCTTTCGTCTTCAGGGAGTCTCGGGACGCTACA